TCCTTCCCGAGCACATACAGTACAACCCTGCACTTCTCACCATTGAGAACCAAGCTCAGCCTGCGTTGTGTCCTGACAAAGTCACATGGCTCAGCCTGCGTTGCGAAGAACGCCGACAGTGGATCCCCATTCCCTCGGCCCCAAAAGGGCGAGAGACGGTCTCGGAGCGTGGAATCTCGACGCCGGGAGCGGGAGGGCCGAGCCAGCCATCGTCTCGAAGTAGACACTGCAACTGCCTTTTGAGTGGGGGGGGGGAGGAGAAGCTCCACCTTTTCAGAAACACCTTTTTTCAGCCACATCTTCGGCACATCGCTAAGATGTTGATGTTCAACCCAGAAGCTCATGGATGCCAAGTAGCACGTTTGTATATGTTTGACGGTCAAGACCCTGAGCAATGTTACGGTCCAGTGAGCCTTTTGGGCATCATGGTCATGCGTTTCTCCGAAGTCAGTCACATGCTGCTGTTCCAGCTGGATGGTGGAAGCTTCTGCCCGCTTGACGCCGGTTGAGCTCCTTCTGGAATTCTTGCGGTGGCCGGGAATGGAGTCTCCGTGGCCTGTGCTGTGCTGCCGCGGAACGACCGTCGCCGTTCCTTGGGCACCGGTCCGAGGTGGTCCTCGCCGCCGTCAAGCAAAATGGCCTCGCCATCCGTCCCTTGGTCGAGGGCGAGGTTGGCCCTTATAGGCCCTGAAAAGGAGCGATCGGACGCGAGCTGCGTTCGGGGCTCCTGGCCATACTACTGGGAGCAAGGACGCTACTCTAAGATCCCTTAAGTAGTCATCCCAAGTTCCGGGCCTTCGATCATTTAGTCATTCGCCTGGCCAACTGATTATGTTGTTCATCCCAGGCTCCAACTTATTGTATCAAAGTGCTTTGGAGGAGATCAGAGATTTGCAGGCAAGCTCGAGAGAGAGCTTTTTCTCACAGCTAGCTATTTCCTGGCTGTTTTTCCCCAAGCAATTTGACCACCCTACATAAGTACATTCTCAGGAAAGTCACGTCCAGGAAATTCGAGCTACGACGGTCCAGGGGCACGGTGGCATGTACTATTGGAGTTTGGAGCTACGACGCACGCTCGATTCGCAGATGTTGAACATTTCTTCAAACTGAGTTGGAGCCCTCAGGTTGTACCCTTCACTTCCGGCGGGAATTTGTGGCAGGGTCTAAGGCATCGCAGAAACTCTGGGTGGTGATGGCAGCGATACTTCCCCCAATCCCATCCAATCCCTGATTGGGGGTGGTTGTTCTAATTTCATCCACTTTCCAATTGAGTCGTATCGTGGGAGATAGTTGGACATTTCATGAATCATCTTCTCAGAACATAATGCGGCTGCTGGATGATGCAGGGAGGCTGACCAAGTGCAGGTACTCCATACGCTTTGCTGGGAGGGGAAGCTATTGTTGGGCAATCTGGTAAGCTCAAGAATCTTGAGGGGGGGAATGGAAAACACCTGCCCATCCGTAAACCCACAAGGAGTGGCGAAAGAGGTACGCCGTGGACACTTTTTTCAGGGTCCCTGATCCCTGTCATAGGCTTGTTGATGGCTACGCCGTCGTTAGCGGCACTGAGTAATTTGCAATTTTTAGTGACTTATTCGGGTTCAGGTGGGTTTTGGTGGTCACAGTGCTTCACTTGAGGGTGCCTTTGGGGGGGTTGGGTTGCCAGATTGCTTCACTTGTGGAGGCCTTTTGGTGGTTTTTTCGGGGTGATGTGTACAAGGGTCAAGGCTACAACCAGGGTTATAACCATGCTACAACCAGTGTCAGGGTTTGTGAAGGGAGAAGACTGCAATCATGCTCATGACCATGCTACCACCAGCGTCACAAAGAGGACATTTGCCCAAAGCTGCTAACGGCGGCGTAGCCTTGTTGATCTTTGTTGATCACTATGTGATGTATGAAAACACATGGTGTAGGTGTGAAACTCTTCCACTTTTCCGGCCGTTCCGACGGTCACCTTCCCACTCCGCCCCATTCGATCCTCAAGTGCGCTCAGGCGTGGACGCTGTTTCTTGTGCCAGGGAATGCCTTCACCCCCGCGCCATCCATCCTTCATCAATAATCCCCCCATCTGAAGAGGTTTACAATCTTTTCGAATCAAGAGTCTACATTATTCATTTTACATGTACCGCCACATGTGGCGGACCTGTGCAGGTGACATTTGATGAGTCCACAACCACGTGTCAGAGACCTGTTTTTTCCGAGCCGCTCGGTGTTGTAGATTGGTAGAATGAACCCACCCTGACTGACACCCACCGGTTCCCCACATCTCACCCCACCGAACCATCTCACCCGAACGATCCACCCAGGCCTGGCCTGTCGAAGCTTGAGATCCGACGTGCCTCGCTTCCGCGGGAGCGGGTCCACCTGTGCGCCAGAGCGCGAAAGACACGACTCCATAGAACGGAGAGCACAGAACTGACATATTTGTGGGGTGGTTGACCAAGGGTCAATGTAGGTAAAGATTCCGTACGATAGTGTCTGGGGTATGGACTGATTCGCACACAAAACAAGACGAAAGCACCATCCACGAGTCTGCTGTAGATGGGTTTATACTAGTTTATACAATGCAACCAGGGGAACCAGGGGATTCGGTCCGGTCTGGAGAAAAACTTCCCAGCTTCGACCTTTTGAGGGCCCAGACGGGGGTCGCTTGGTCGTGAGGTGTCTCACGAGCACCGTCCACCATGTAGCGAACCACCTGGGTCGGTCGTGCCCGGTCGGTCTCCTGGTGCCGATGAGCCAAGTGACCGACCAGGGACACTGGTGCCATGAATGACCCATGACCCATGACCTGAACCCGGATCACTTTGAAGAAAAGGTCTCCGACCACCGTATGCCATATGTGACCATGTGTCACCTTCCTGCGCTCTCCAAAGGTCGTTCCTGAGCATGGTGAATTACACTTGCAACACTTGACTCACATGTAATTGTACCATTGCATTTGGAGCATAGGCCACTGAAACTGTGGTCAGAGAGCCATATTATCATTTCTTTTTGAGTGGAAGGGTACTTGGGGATGGACATGGTTTGGGCAGAGCAATCACCAAGCAGACCAGCAGTTCCGCAACACCCACCAAACACATCTAGGTGCGAGCCATTTTGACTCCTCTCTTCGCTTCCAGTTTGTCACACGACGTCTCCAAACTCAAGCTGCTGATACTTTCTTTGGGATTCTCTAAAAAGGTGTCCCAGTGGAGGAGAGAGCAACACGGTTACGTCCTTGACTGGAAAGCCTTCAAAGCAGCCTTGCAGGGCACTTGGACGACACTTGAACCTTCCTTCAGGTCTTTTCTCTTGGTTTTGGAAGATATAGAATCTAGAAGTTGCGGGTGGTGACTTTGTGGGTTTCGGTCCAGGCATGACTTATGTATTATACATATACATGGAGGGTGACCGGGTGGTTTCGGGAAAGAACTAGTTCATATCTCGGCCGGATTGGCCCAGTCGATCATCTTAGGACCCCACTGTACCGGTCTGTTGGTCTTCGGATCTGCAGTCTCCACAGCCAAGCGGCTGGACTTTTGACTGCTCTGAGGATGGTATCATCCTAGCTGCTGTTATGCAGAATGGCCCGGGCCACAAAACCAACCTCTGCTGTTATTTTGGTGAAGCCGTCAGTGGTGTCAGAGAGGGCCTGTCCACGTAAAGGTGAAGGTGGGCTGAAAGCTCAGTGGTCAGCGTAGTGGCATAGAGGGAGATCAGGGAACACCCATGGAACTGGCAGCAACAGGGCTGCAACTGGATGGCTGAAGCTCTTGGGGGGTTCCGCTTGATGCATCTGTATATTGATAATCTTGATCATGTTGATGATATTGATCACGTTTCATATGAGCATATGTATCTAAGAACACTTCCATTGGACACCCAGTGGGAACTCGCGAACTGCCCTTACTTTCTGCTTCGGCTTGCCCAGGTCTTGCTCTGGAGCATGCGCGGCCAAGCACCTGCAATGGTGGGTGGCCTAGGGAAAGGACTCAGATGACTCGATGGGCCGTAGAGTTGCAGAGTTTTATTATGTTTTGTTCTTTTTGACCGGTTGACTGATTAAGAGGTGGCTGGTGGCCTGAATGTCGACATGGACCACATGAACCTAGGGACCCAGATGGACTCACGGACTTCTTTTTGCTGTATATTCTTGAACTATGACCTCAGATGCTGATGGGCACCAAGTCACGTCTGGACCCGCAAAAATTGTTTTGGATCTACAAAAAACAACTCAGTTGCTATGGGTTGAATTCGAACGCAGCGGGACGATGTTGGTGGTTTGCTAAAGGCCTTCCGCGCCAAGCAAATGAAGCAGTGAGTTCTTTGTCTAGTGCTATTGCATGCCATTCCCCTTGGCTCCAAGTGGCTGGCAAAGTGCTTGGTTCTCAGAATGCTATGGAAGAAACCCTGAGCCAGGCCCCTTGGTGGCGATGCTCACGATCTTTAGGACAACAGTACTATCTAGGATGGAACCTGCGGTATCTGACGCCGTCTGCCCGATGTGCTATGACTCAACCAAGATTGCGACATGAAGATCTATCGCTTGGGTCGGCCCCTGGTAAATGTAGCACTGTAAAGGGTAAGGACCATCCCAATAGGTTTCAAACATCCCTGAAGATCATATATTTTGTCCATTGCTCGTATGATTCATATTTCAATATTTGTAGGTCCTCTTTCTGAGCCCCAGGTTCAAAACTTGTTAAACTTGTTCGGAATGCTGGCTTCAGCGCAGATTTGGAGCTGAACAACGCACAACAGTCGTTTCTCAAGATGAGTGATTCCAATGTGCAGGTCATTTGCATGGTTTTTGCAAACTTGTGGCTCATCATTTGCCATGCATATGGAGATTTGTAGCTGATCCCTTGAGGGTCATAGAAACATTGACACCAACAAGCATCTTGGAACCACTTCCTGTTGTGGCAACTTTGCAAAACTGGCTGAACTCTGATGTGAACGAGCAAGTGAGGTAAAGCAAGTGAAGAAGAACCTCTTAAACACTTCAGCTGTGCTGTCTCCAAAAGTGCTTCTTCCTCGCAGTCAACAGAGTCGACCGCTTAATTCGCTGCATCTTAGAATGGCTCCTTCATTGGATTTGGTGTTGGGGGAGTGGGAAGACGCCAACGGCAATCACTACGATGTGACCTTGGATGATGCTTGGGTCGAACTGTAGTTGGACCAGGGTGTGTAGACGGCTGTTTGTCGCCCTTTTTGTTGCGTACTTTTGAGGTTTCCAGACCCACTGGGAGAGCATGGAACCTTTGTTTCGCCATGGACCCTGTCGTCTCGACCGGTGTTCATTTCGAGGAACGTTTGAGCACTTTGGCCGAATCAGCTTATCGGACGCCCTGAGACCTAAGACTTCCTCTTCAAATGGTTCCGGCTGCGGGAGTCCATGGGAGTATGGGAGTCTCCAAGTTTGCACACACACACAAGCTGTTCAACATATGACCCTGGTTCCGCCTGTTCCCCATCGTTTTGGACAGCTCCTGTTCTATTATACGATATTTTTACATTCATTTGTTTCGGTTTGGCCATTCAGTGCTCACGTTGTGCAAACTTGGCAGATGCTTGTTCTAAAATGATTTTTGTCCCCCTTTTGACAGTGCGAATGCTTGGCTATGTCATGCTGTGTCCCAATATTGTTGTAATCTGTAGATAGGTACAAACTACCTCAAATTATTTAGTGTTCGTATCCCAGATGGTGCAGGAACGACTTTCAAAGGTCTATATACTGATGTCACGCTTGCGTACCATCTGATGTCACCAGTCCAAAAAGAGACAATGGACAACCTAAACAAGCACCTTCTCACAAGCTACTTGCGAGTATGCTGGATATCATACAGTTGATCAAGTCTCCTTGCCCATCCATCCTGCTGAGGAGACAGGCGAGTCCTGTAGTGTTCGGACTGTGCGTTCGAACGGCCGCATCCAGAACACGCGCAACATCTTAAGGCGCAAGGACAACTATGCCACTTGGCCAGCCCGGACTGATGCAAATGAGGTCATGGCAACATTTCCTGGGGAACACTCCCTAGCATCAGAATGCTATTTTTGTCCGCTCGGTGAAGGACACATCTACTTTCTACCTTCCGATCCCCGTGACGCAACGACATCAGGGAAAAGTGGTGTGGTGGGAGTTCCTCCACTTCATCCATCCACACAGCTCCTATGCAAGTGTTGGGTGTATTCTTGGTGGGTGTAAGAGTATGCAATGTGCTTGCTTGGATCCACAGGATGAGAGAGAGAGAGAGAGGGAGGGAGAGCGATACTGTCCCTAGTGATGTTGTTGACTTGATTCATGGAAGCCGGTAGAAAAGGAGAGCTCTGAGCGATGCAAACAGCCTCACCCAGAAGCCAAGTGGGTCCATAATGTCACGCACTGTCCATTGTCACTATAGCTGGTGCAAGCCGGAGGGAGCGATTCTGAGGGTCGAGGTATCCACATTCTCCCTGAAGGGAGCTGTTCGGAGCTGGTTGGAGGCCATCGCTATTAGGTTGGAGGCCATTTCTCTGAGTTTCCCAGCAAAATTGCGCAGCTACCATGAGTTCCCCAAACCCATGCCAAGTCAAACAGGTTCTATTTATATTTATATAGGGAGTTTCTGCCACTCCGCCGGGCTGCGAGAGACCGCTGCAACGAGCAAGGTCAAGTGGGGCAACAGCTACTACCTGGAGATCAACGACAAGAGCATGTGGCTTGGCCAAACCCTGCTGCCAAGCTTGTACAAAACAACACTCTGAGGGAGAGACATAGACTCCACTGTTTGCTCAGCGCAGGTTGAGCCCCAAATAGACTACTCGTATATATATATATAATGTATGTACTCAGGATTACTCAGGTACCTACCTGGTACAGTATCACTCGTTTGTACATCAGTTTGTCTAGGGCCGCGCGTCAAGTGACATGCCGGTGCCACCTTCCCCCTTTCGAGTTTCCCGCAATTCAGAGCGCTTTTCTGCGCTTTCCCGCGCGTAACGCGGGCGCGTGGCAGGAGCAGGGTAGGCGCGGATGGACAGATGTTCAGATTCTTTGGGAATCCACTTTGCTCCTAGTAGCGTCCTTGCTCCTAGTAGTATGGCCAGGAGCCCCTAGTAGCGTCCTTGCTCCTAGTAGTAACAGTAGTATGGCCAGGAGCCCCTAGTAGCGTCCTTACTCCTAGTAGTAAAGCCAGGAGCCCCTAGTAGCGCCCCTGCTCCTAGTAGTAAGGCCAGGAGCCCCTAGTAGCGTCCTTGCTCCTAGTAAGCGTCCTTGCTCCTAGTAGCAACAGTAGTATGGCCAGGAGCCCCTAGTAGCGTCCTTGCTCCTAGTAGTATGGCCAGGAGCCCCTAGTAGCGTCCTTGCTCCTAGTAGTAAGGCCAGGAGCCCCTAGTAGCGTCCTTGCTCCTAGTAGTAAGGCCAGGAGCCCCTAGTAGCGCCCTTGCTCCTAGTAAGGCCAGGAGCCCCTAGTAGCGTCCTTACTCCTAGTAGCAACAGTAGTATGGCCAGGAGCCCCTAGTAGCGTCCTTGCTCCTAGTAGTAAGGCTAGGAGCCCCTAGTAGCGCCCTTGCTCCTAGTAGTAAGGCCAGGAGCCCCTAGTAGCGTCCTTGCTCCTAGGAAACGTCCTTGCTCCTAGTAGCAACAGTAGTATGGCCAGGAGCCCCTAGTAGTAAGGCCAGGATCCCCTAGTAGCGTCCTTGCTCCTAGTAGCGATGCCCTTTGCTCCTAGTTTTGGCAAGATTTCTGAACATCTTTTATGCGCAGGAAGGGGATCTGCCCGGAGGGTTCCACTATGCCACTGTTCATCTACGCACCTCCCAGTCTTCTTGGGAGCTAACCGCAAACAGCTTTAAACAACAATCAACCAAAACACGATAAACAACGCATGTTCCCGCTGCCCCCGTATTTTTTGTGCTTGTAGACATAGACGACGTGTACTCTTTGCAAGATCCGTGCTGTCCGGCTTCAACGAGACGAATCCAGACGTCTCGAGATGAGGTCTCCAGGTAATCGCGAACGGACTCCCGACCTGTGAGGGACTTTACAGATGAACACATCTCCTTTTGTGTACTTCATAGTTTTACCCGACGAGGAGTCACCTCACCTTTAGAATTCACCTGTTTTTTTTTCGGAGTAGCAAGCCACGTTGCAAGTACCGTTGATGAAACAGCCTTTCAAAGATCGGGAGAGCAACCCTGCGAAGAGGACGGCTGCTATGGGCTTCTCTAAGTCACACATTGCAACAATCATGATGTTACAAGAGTCGGACTTCTGGACAATTGCAGGGCTGTACTAGTTATATACAGTAGATGATTCTAATGGATGCTTGATCCAACAACAATAGCGTGACCCCTCACCTTGGTGTACCTTCCTTGGAAAGACCATGAGAACACTTTGAGGTTTAGGCTAGATGTTGCCCTGCACCCACGTTTCCCAAGTACTTCAAACAAGACACCAAATCTGATTCATCATTGCCAGACGAGGCAGGCACTTCCCACCGGGCTGCTCTCTCCGCAGTTCCCACCGGGCTGCTCTCGGCGGTGTCCACCGCCCAGGTCCAAATTGAAATGGACGCCTCTGAAGAATGTGCAGCCCTACACCTGGTTCCGGTGCAATACTGAGGAGAAGGAGAACGTTGCTAAGCTTGGCAAAGATCCATTCTGGAGATCCTGTTGGTATGGCAGGTCTTGACCATCATTTCAACTGAATCTGCTACAGTGCCTACAAAAGGAACTATGGTGAATTGTCTCCAGACACCTTTTAGAAGGACATCATGTTGTGTCTTGTTTTCTCAAAACCGGTAGAATGTCTAAAGAACAGAGGTGTTTGACTAATCACTAATCGCTTATAGTTGGCACCCTGTGTTTTCAGAACACACCTTTTTAGACAGATTGTGCCTTGTGTTGACAGGGCCACAAATCACAGCAGCCTTGGGTAAATCCTGGGGGGGTGCACGTGGGGACTACCAATTCACACTGAAACAACGTACCCCATGATCTACCCTTTCAGTTTCAACCTGTGTTTTTATTCTTTTTCACGATCCTAAGAGGGGCCTGGCATCAAGTTCTTCTCCGCTTGTTCACGGTGCACGGTCATTTCTTTGGGACGATGTCGCTCGATCCGCATGGACGAATTCTTCGCCACGAAGGATCAAGCCAAGAGGACGGCGACGGCCGACGTCAAGAAGAAGGTTCCGGGTCCAAAGACGGAGAAGACACTTTCAGAAGAGGAGCGGAACTCGGAACTGGCCGAGATGCCTGGCACCGTGGCACCGGTTCCGGCACCACATCAACGGTTCGCTTCGTTGTTGCTGGTTCTTCCTTCCCCGCAAAAGGAAGCCAGCTACCATGTCAGTATACTTCAGGGCTTTCTTTGAACCTGAGAAACCACTTCAGGGCTTTGTTTTAACCCTCAAAAAGAACCACTTCAACCAGTCAGGGCCGCCAGGCCTGGAATACTCCTCATTTTCGGGCCCACTCCACAGAAACTGGTAGAACGTTTGGTAAGAGTTTCCAGGGATCTGCGGCCTGTGGCCCTCGGAGTGGGCCTTCGACCGATTTCCGGGCCGAGACTTGTGCGGCGATCCCCAAGCGAGCGAGCGCAGAAGCGAGTGCAAAGGCGGTGCAGATGCATCCGTCTTTTTTGCCAGAAACTCTGATCTGAAGTTTTCATCTGGGACACCCTATAGTAAACACTCAACTCCGGACTGAGAGCCAGACACATATCGGAATGGTGATTTTTTGGCTTCAATATGACCTACTCAATTGCCTCAAAGCTTTCATCAACTGGAGGCCAAAAACTTGACTGAGGTGAATGGACTCTGTACAGACTGGGCTTGGAGTGCTCCTTTTTAGGCCTTCGGCGGGCCATTGGACGACCACTTTGGTCCCAAGAACCACAAGATGTGGAAAGATCAACCAAGTAGCACCAAAGGCATGACCACCACTACATGCCAACTCAGTCAAGCACAGGCATGGGTCCAGGTTTGCTTGGTGAACATCGTGCACGTTCGGGACCACTGTGGTTTTGACTTTGAATCCACAGGAATCCACAGGGCCTTTACTAGGAGCGATCGGACGCTACGTTCGGGGCTCCTAGCCTTACCAATAGGAGCAAGGACGCATCACCGACCCGATCCCAGTCGCGCGAGGAGAACTCGGAGCCCACGACGCGCACGGGCGAAGAAGACGACCCGCCACGCGGAGGTCCGGTACGGTCGAAGTCTCAGTGGATGCAGAGGATTTAAGTTTCCACTCGCAAAGGTCGTGGGGTAGTAGACTCTTGATGAATGCCATCCCTCATTTGATTTGAACAACCTCTTTGTATGGGGTGGTTTATTCATCAAGAGTCCACATTAAGTGATTCTAAAAAGACTGCCAACCTGAGGGCTGCCCCTGGTTCCCGACCAAGACGGGATGGTGGGGTTTCCCCATGTTTTCCCGGCTTTTGTGGCCCTTTTCAGGCTTTTGTGAGGGGTGTCAGGCAGTGGGTTTCCAGGCAACACGATGGTTTCCACGGATCCAAGTTCTTCTGGAAGACATCCAGCTACTTTCCGCCGCGCTTTGGGCTTGGGGAGATTCGGATACATTAGCACAGAAACGGGCTAGTTCTGGGGTGTACTTAGTTGTCCAGTAGCGGTCTTTCGTCGGACCAGGCGGTTGACTGAATTTTGTCAGCTGCCCAAAGTTTCAGCGACTACTCAGCAGCAGCCATTTGAGGAACAGCTTCTTTATAACTACTGTATATAATTGTTGTGCACTGTGGAAAAGGGTCCAACAACAGAGGTTTGGTGTAGAGCGAAGAAATCCTCCATTTCTCCTTGCTTCTTCTTGCGGCTCTTAGCTTGCAAGCTACGAAGTCCAAGCTACGAAGTAAATCAAGGAATTCACTTTCCCAGAGCTGTTGCTCCTTCGTCTCACCTGTTCCTCCGGACATGACTGAGAGAAAAGACCGATCAGTTGGGGGTTTTCAGAAGGTGCAGTGCAATGGTTAGGTCGAAAAAGGTGATGTTTTTTTGCCCCAGACAGGTCGTGTGGGGTGAAAGGGATGGGGGTCGTGTGTACGAGCGCACTCTTCATCGTTCGTTCCGGGTTCCGGCACCGAAGGGAGGAAGACGTGCATCGCTGTGCATCGCTGCTAGAAGCCACTAGTAGCAGTTGAGGGAAGCACGAAGCGGCGCATCAAGGTCTAAACCAGTGGCGACCTTGGATGAAGTCACCGGCGATTGGAAGGACTGTGCCTTGGTGAGCCAAACCAACGACCTTAGGGTTGCTACACTCTAACTTGACTAACATGGAAGTGGAAGAATCCCCTGTTTGTAGAGGAACATCGTCTTCCAAGGGACCCTTTTCATCCATTTTCCACTTCCATGTGAGTGAGTCGGAAGTTGCTCGGAGTCATTCGCCCGGCTGCACCTTTTTCCATCCGAAAGACCGGTCCAAGGTTGCACCCTTTCTTCGAGGTCAGTCCACAAGCAACAACCAAAGTGGGCTCAAGATGAGGGCAAGGCCCTCATCCTGGGTCGTTGTTGCTTGAGTCCATTTTGAGGGCCGAGATGTTGAGATGCGAAATCGCCCGAGCCTGGAGAGATGTTGAGAGCACTGGGGCTGAGGTGACGGGATCCGCTACTTCATCACCCTGGATGAGTCCGGCGACACCTGCAGTGCCACCACCGTCACCACCAACGGGCCGGGATCCGGGTGGACAGTGGGTGCATGGGAACACGCAGTGTGTGGGGAGCAGGAGACACGTCTTCCTTCTAAGAGGCCCGTTATTGGTCAGCAGCTGAAACAGAGATGGGACAAGAGGTTGAAATAGGTTGAAACAGGTTGAAACCGTCCTCATGAGCGTCCTGTCCCATGCGTCAGTTTTACTGGAAGCTGTTACAGCTTCAACCACTGGAATCTGTCATCTCTCTATTGAGGTGACTCAAAGATCGGATCCGACCAATGGTGCTTTTAGGTCACCAGGTTTCACACGTGGAAAGTGGCCGGAAACGGATCGTTTCGCATCATGAACGGTTATGCACTGTTTGTTAATGCACGTCCATTCTTATTTGAAGGGCAGAAGTGTAGAATAGCCCGACTTCCAGGGCTTAGCTGTTGACATGGTCGAAGGTTGTCGGGTAGTTGGAGGTGTGTGGGAAGCAGGATGCTGGTTCTTTGCAGGCAGGCACTGGTTTCTTGGTTTTCTTCCGACTTGCTTCATTGAGTGCCTGACCAAATCGCCACGGACATGGCCTCTGACCCCCCAAAAACGTCGCTGACGTTCTCCGTCGCCGAAGCGTGGGGTCGAACTTCCGACTCCGTCGGCCGAGTCTCAGTCGAGAATTGATGGGTCTCCATCGCCCCTCGCAATTAGGTTGGAGGGTCTCCTTCCCATTCGGTTGGGTGCATTGATAGGTCTCAGACTCACAACTCGGACCGTGTGTCCAGGCAGACCAGCCTGGACATGGTGCCTCGGCGTGGAAGGCCCTGACGACAGCGGCGACAGCTGCAGTAGCAGCTGTTGAAGTGAACGATCCCTTTGGTGGATGCCGTTGAGTGCAAGGGGGCATGGTAAGTTGCGTACAGAACATGACGGAATCCATGATATAATGATTTGTCATTCATACCAATTCAATGCTTGATAAGGCTCGCCTGCTTCCGTGAGGTGAAGAATGGTGATCGGCTCACCTCCTAGCTCTTTTTTGCTGATCCTTATTTCCTTCTTGGTCGGTTTCTGGGATCCTTAGATCGGTTTGGAAGATCAGCATTTTTATCTGTTTTTTCTGAAGCGAAGCAAGACTCGTATTCCACTCGCCGGGACTGGGGATCGAACGAGCTCCGTAGAACCAAGACATCTAAGCTCCGTAGCCAGGAGAGCTCCGTAAGGACAGGGGCGGAAAGGACAAAAAGAGCCCAGAGCTGCTCTTTTTTGACAGCAAGCAACATACTTTTCAGGGCAAACCGAAAAACTGCGAAGTGCAACATAGACGGTTCCTTTACAACATGTTTTGGGAGGCTTTCCTGTTCAAATTCAATGTGACAGGTGAGTTTTAGGGGCTCTAGATTTAGTAGACCTGGAAGAACTTGGTGTGGCCTTTTTCGCTGACCGAGGCAGTGATTACCGAGGAGGATGGCTGGCTGTACTGGAGGAACTCCCACTACTTGGATGCCAAGGACCAGGAGTCGCTTCGAAGAACACCGGGACAGGCAATGGTGATGTGGCTCAGCAGCTCCGGAGCTGAGCGAAATGCTGAAACATTGGTGGATTTTGTTATCTGATTCAAAAGAAGCAGTATATACTTTCAGGGAGACCGGGGGCTTTTTGCATGCTTTGGGCAAGTTTGCGTCTTCCAAGCATTTGTTTGCTGCTTGAAACAGGTTGCGGCTATATAAGCCAGCCTCAGAATCTTCCCATGCAGAGGTAGCTGATGTGAGTGAGGCAGTCTAATTTGCAATATAAGGCTGTGGTGTAGGGCGCTAGAGATCGAATGTAGAACAACGCCACTCAGGTCATTGGAAGTTCAAGACCTTTCAGAATTTTCTTTACACATGCGTTGGAGGTATGCTGAGGCTGCTGCATGTTCGGTAGTGCACTCATGCTTGGTGTTTGTTCTTTTTGAGGTAGGTGAGCTTTCCCCAAAGCAGCTTTCATTCAGAGATCATTAGTTCCCCAAATGGCTGGTTATTTCGGGTCTCGAGGTTTCCTCATGAGTAGCTTGTTTGTCGCAAGGCTGATGATGCTTCTGAGATCCCCCCGGTAACCGCCACCATAAACCACCTATGTTCACTGCCTTGGAGTTTGGCCCGAGCTGGGCCCATCAAACAAGGATCATGTTGCTTTTTGAAAAGGGCGACCCAGAAAAGTAGCTACTTGTTCTGTTCAGGTTGGAGCCAACAGGTTGCTTTGTTGCTTTCTTTTTCCCAGCACGCAGCGAAGTCATGACATGTTTTTATTGTGTTGATTTGTTTTGCATTTTTCCCTAACATGTGGGGTTTCACTTATACCCCTATGGCTGGGTCAAAACGGGTGGACCCTGGTTGACCACCGAACAGGATAGACTGGTAAGGAGGGAGAACCCCAAAAAACAGGGTTTTGGGCTCTGGGTTTTGACCCACAGCCCTATCATATCCTATCATTATACATTCGGTTTCGATCCTTTTCAGGGCATCCATGGTGCCGCTTCTGTGCTCCACAGGTCCTTACGCTGGAGGAATATTGAGACAGAAGAGGCGTGGGATGAATGAAGATCTTGTCTACGAAGTCTAATATACAACCACATAGGGCCCAGGTACCTCCTGATCGCATGGTCTTGGAGGCCAATGTACTTCCAGAGAATGGTCGAACTTGAATCTGAACATCCTCAGGATGGTCCTGGACCCTTTAAGAAATCACGCTGTGCAGGTTGGTGTCTGAGGGTGTCTCGAGTTTCTCCAACCTTTTCTCCTGAAAAGACACTCCAACCCATTTGAGCCCCTTTCTGGAGTGTCAACCTTCGCCTTTTTGATGATGAGTGGCCTATGGAGACTTCTGTCAAAAGAGGACTCCCCCTCCAACAATCATGGAAGTGAACAACCTCCTCTTGGTAGAGGAACATGGTCTTCCAAGGGGCCATGGTCCCCTTCCATGATTGTTGAAGCATTGTGCACATATAACATGACAGCCACCATCCATGTCACAGACGCAAGAAATGACATAGAGTAAATGAGCGCTGGCAGCCTTTTTGGAGAGCGCTTGGGCACCTCAGGTCAGAACAGGGAAGGTTATAAGATTGTGGGGAGATGCGTTTCATAAAGGGTGGGGTTGTCACCAATATCATCCAGCACAGAATTCTCCAGCTATGAAGAAATTCTTAGATATAATATGCATCTGGGAATGATCAAATCGCACTTGGTCCCTTCTTATTACACACCACGCTCTTGACAGATCATGGAGATGCTTTCGTCACTTTATAGAATTTGAAGTCAGAGCTTTTTCACATTTTTTTCCACGCGATTTCCTCAGCACCCTGCAGACTGAACTCGAAGCATTTTGGCTGATTTGTAAGGGCTTTGTTCTTGACAAATCTGCACTCAACTTTGAAATCTCCTTCAAGTAGCACCATCCCATGAGATCAAATTCACTCATCACCTCGTCACCCCTGCAAATGCGCCCATCCACCAACCCTGCACCCTCTTGTGCACGCCCACGCCCTTTTTCACTGGAAGGAGTGGACGTGGAAGCACTTCTGCGCTGGGAGCGCCAGCCTCGCAGTGAAGTCGGCCAAACCCGCGACCTGGGCCTTCGGCTTTGTCCTGCTGGGGCAGACGGTGCGGGGCAGACGGGGTCAGACGGGGGGCAGACAGACGGGACGGCTGGCACGGGCGGTGCAAGAGAGCGTGGGGCCTGAATGGTGGTCATCTCTACAGATGGAGGGTGAAACAGGAGAAGTGATCCATGCAATATAGTAGACTCTTGATTAATGAACCCTCCATATGAAGAGGTGTTTCAACTCAAATGGGGTGGTTTATGTCCTCAAGAGTCTACTGTACATTATATAAAGTAGATTTTAGAGTACGCAAGGTTTGTTGGATTCTTTGGATCAATACAATGGCGATCACTCTCAGTCTCAGATCAATCCTAACGAATCCGTGGACCCAACACCGAAACGCAGGGCTCGTTCGACCCGAAGCAGTCCCTTTCCATGGGTTCTCTTGATTTGCAACTCTCGCATTTGGATGGTAAAACCTCCTGAGGAGGCCTGTTTTTAGTGATTAATCAAGAGTCTACATTAGGGAAACAAAGACTAGACGACAGGGTGGCCAGAAAGCATAGTAGGAGGAAGCATTATAACGAAAGGGTTCCAAACGAAAACGAAACTGAGGGATGAACCGTTTGTCGGTAACATGTATGGTAACATGTATTTGGGGTAGCAATGTATCACAATGTGTCAACTGCAACGCGACTATTCTTGTCAATGAGGCCCACATCATTTAATCACTGAGTTAGTTGATGTCTTTCTGCTGGGTCCGTTTCACTACGTCTAATGATCACAGGTGCATGATTCATGATGATGTATAATGTCTGCGTATGTATGACGATGATGATGATGATGATGATGACGATGATGATGATGATGATGCTGATGCTGATGTATGATGATGTATTCTGGTGATGATGATGACGATGACGATGATGATGATGATGATGATGATGTTGTTGTTGTTGTTGTGATGATGATGATGATGATGATGATGATGATGATGATGATGATGATG